TAAATGCAACTAGTTTGAACTTCATATGTTTTCTATACTAACAAAGCAACATTTTTACTTTGTAACTTTTTTGCGAAATTTCAGTTTGTTTCATCAGACGTATACTACTCAAATACTAGTTCATTAACTTAAGAATAACAAAACAAAATTTACTGCAGTGCTTGGCTACACACTTGTTGATTAGAAGTGAAGTGGTATGATGTAAGCTTTTACATACTAGTTTAGAACTACTCCTCCTAAGACTAGTTAAACTACAGCTGCAGCTTTTTTTGAATATATATCTTTTTTTCTACACTTCCCTAACAGTATTTCAAAATTGGCCAAGGCAAACAAATTCCATTTAGCTTCGGCCATTAGTGTCGCTGTTGAGAAACTTTTCACGCTAATATTGCAAAACAAAAAAGTTTAAAGCAAGTAGCGGCAAATAGTTGAAATATTTTCCTTAAGCTAAAAAAAAATAAAAAAATGAAAAAAGTATATAAAAACAAATAAATGAAAAAAGATAAAATGTGTGCATATGCAAAGCATAATAGTGAAGAGCAAAGAGAAATGCCAGAGATATCGTTTGAAAGTTTTCGGTTGTTGGCATTCGGAAATCGAATGAAAGACGGAAATACACTCAATATGTGTCAATTCGATTGTTTGTGTTGCATTCCGATAAGACACACAGCCACACAAACAAATACACGCACGCAAACAAATAAAAAATACATCTGTTATATAAAAATAGATAACTGATGCAATAGAAAGTGAAATTTTTAGAAAGAATAAGTTGCTGCGCTAAGAACATTTTGTCATTTGGAAACTTTTCTGTTTTCTTTTGCATTTATTTCTAATTTTTTTTTTTTTTTTATAAGAAAAATCTCTTGCAAACAGTTGCGGCCAAATTTGTTTGTGAGTTTTCGAAAAGTCTCCGCAATGTTGCCACACATTTCAAATGACCGAAAGAAATGTGAATTATTAAATTACCATCCATGCAAAGCGACCTTTGGGCGTCGGTTAGATAGCGCTCGACGACTTCCTTGCATTGGCTGTTGGTTGGCTGGTTGGTTGGATGGTTGTTTGGTGTCAGTAAAGTTGATTTTACCAATCTGTTTTATGCTGCTTGGCTTCGTTGTTGTTCTTTTTTGGTGTTCTCATTTTTCATTCTTTTTTGGTTTGCTTGACACAATTTGGTAAGTTATTGTTGCGGCATAAAAGCCAAAAACTTTTGTGGTTTAACTTGTGTAGCATCAAATGGAAGCTAATATTTGATAATTTTTTTTTTCTTTTTGTGTAAAATGTGCGACCTTTTTGAGATTTCTAAGTTAGCTTGGCTTATTATGTACAGTAATATATGCAGAATAGATATAAATGCGGAAATCAGCTTATATTCTTCTCAAGCTTCGCTTCAGTATGAAAAGTGAAAAGTTAGCTATTTGTCTAATTTAAGCATTTCTCATTTGTTAATAACAACAAACATTTTCTATATATTTCACAGTAATTTAATGCAGCTAAAAATAATGTGCAGATGTGGTGGTCGAACCATGACTCGAGCCTTCAGAATGGCAGTACGTAATGCCACTCGATTATTATGGCAGAAACAGTTATTCCAAATCTAAGAACATTTTTAGCTTTTTTTATATTTCCAACTGTAATACGTTTTACTAGAACTTTAAGTATCAAAATTACACTTTACTCGCACTCGTTGTGCACTGCGGTTGTAGCTTTTGTGATGACCTGTTTGTCTTTGGATCTAGTATGAACAGCTCATACAAAGCATTTGTATCAACAAGGCAATGATTTCAAGATAAAATCATATATTTATGTCATTTTGGGTGGAAATTCGTTTAATTTTTCTTCCTTATGCGACTTCATTGCTGTTATGCTCTTAATTAGCTAATTGTGTGCCTATGTGAACACGAAGAGGAAATATAATTTGTACTTTTAGTTACCTTTAATGTATAATATATTTTGGGGTCAACAGCAAAAACTTTATAAACACCAGAAAGATTAGCGGTAATTTGATTGAACAGCAGATTGATTTTCTATCGATACATCTTTCCAATATATGTGATATTTTCACCAAATTTGGGAATTTCGGTTTGCATAAGCCGGGGGGGAAGCACTTCATGCTAAAGTAAAGATTATGATAGGTTCGAGTCCCAGCGAGGTTTTAAACAAGTTCATTCCTTGTCATGTGACTTCTTTAATGCAGGAGAAAATAATACGAGCTGCAGAGTTGCACAGAGAAGGCAGAGTATTCCATAAGAGTGTACAGCTACTGGCGTAAGACGATGATATGGACATTATTGGCCTCAGCAATGAAGCCGTCAGTTTTGCTTTCTCCAGACTGGATAAGGAAGCGAAGGATATGGGTCTGGTAGTAACGAGGGCAAGACGAAATATCTTCTGTCATCAAACAAACAGCCAACGCATTCGCGACTCGACTCCCCCGTCACAGTTGACAGTTATAACTTCGACGTCGCAGAGAATTTCGTCTATCTAGAAACCAGCATCAACACCCATGTTGTTGTTGTTGTAACCGCAAAAATATTCCCCAAAGTCGATTTTGGGAAATATTGAGGGAGTGCGAGTCACTGGCCGAATAAAATATCCGGGTCGTTCTGGTATAAAGACCAAACTGTCGTGAGAACTATTGGATTCTTGAACCCCTAACCCGAGTGTCAACACCAATTATAATGTAAGTCTTGAAATCCAGCGCAGAAACCCTCTTGCCAACAGGTGTCACTATGAACTGAGTAGGCAATTGAAAAGTGAGGTTCTCTCTCGACGAATGAAAACCAAACCCTACAAGTCACTTGTCATTCCCGTCTTGCTGTATGGTGCGGAGGCATGGATGTTGACAACATCTGATTAGTAGGCGTAAGGAATTTTCTAGAGAAATGTTTCGCGTAAGATTTACATTCTCTACTAGTTTAGAACAGCGAACATCGCAGCCGTTGGAATCATAAGTTGTATGAGCTATACAGCGACATTGACATAGTTGAGCGGACTACTAGTTCAAAAGCTACGCTGATTAGGTCATATGGCCCGGATGGATAAGAATACTCCAGCTTTGAAAATATTCGATGCAGTACCCACCGGTGGAGGTAGAGGAAGAGGAAGACTTCCACTCGGTTAGGAAGACCAGCGCGAGAAGGACCTGGCTGTACTTGGTATTTCCAATCGACACCAAACACCGAAAAAATAATTGAATGGCGCAATGTTATAAATTCGGCTATATTTGCGTAAGCGGTGTCTGCGCCAGTAAAGAAAGAAGAAAATTTAAAAAACATATAGAGTATTAAAAAGAATTATTTAAAAAGAAAAAAAACCGTTCAAAAATATTGTTTTCTTATTGATTTGGTTTCAAGAAATAATCTAAAGCGATCTCAATTCGTGTTATTTTATTAAAATAAATTCTAAAACTTTCTAAAAATTTGTAATATTTTTAAAATGCCATAAAAATACGGTTGGGCTTGGGCTAAATGCAGATTCCTTGCTTAAACTTGATTTTACGACATCGCTCCGTCATCTGTTACGACAAAGTGGCATAGTTCCTGCCTCATTCGTTGCTTGCTATTTTTTTTTTTAACTATTTGTAGGAAGACACATTTTTATGTAGTTGAACTGTCCAAAATCATATAAGATATAAACATTAGCTTTAAAGCAAAAATTATCTGTTTGCACTAATCGTTTTCTTTTTCGTTTTTTCGCTCTTTCTTATAAATTAGTTGCACTTAGAGCTTTTCAAGCTTTCTTAAGTACCAAGCAATTAATTAGGAATACGCTACGTATCTATGTATGTATGTATATACTGCTATTTAGATTTATAAAATGAAGAAAATTACGCACTTCTTCAAACTTTACCATCCAGCGGTGGTCGCTCATCAACCGTACAAGCAGACAACTTTCTATTACGCCATATACGTGCATTTGCGGCGCTGCACTTTGCGATGTCGGCAACTTATGATATTGACCTTAATCTAGTTTTCTTCCACAATATTTAAGTATTTTAGTGCTATGATGCAGGGGATGTTTGTGTGTGTGAAAAAATAAATAAATAATATTTTAAAAGTGAGAAAAGTTGTGCGGAAGCTGTATTTCAAAAATTCTGAAATTTTGCTTCACCCTCGCACTCTTGTAAGAAAAATACATATCTATTCGTACAAAGTAATATGTAAGCCAGTATGTACTCAATGTCCGCTGGTTGAGGTGAAAGCCAGTTGCTTTCAACTTCTTATGGATTTTCTCTTTATTCTCCTGACATAGAGATCAACTCAACTCAACCGCTATGATTTAAGTCTCTGCGATGATTACAGTGAAGGCCAGAGATATAAAAGCATATGTTTGCTATTTACACAGCCGTAAGCTTTTACTCGTATTACCTACACATTCATGCATCCGGCTGTCCATCACTTCAACACTTCTCCGTTACGCAACATACTGTTTTAATCTAATCCATAATTCCATTTCAAATATCAGCTATCCTCTAATCGAATCCAATGTTGGCATCAATATTATCACACATGAACGCTGGGTGCTATTTCACCTCGACGCTTGAGTTACTAAACCAAAGTAGATAACTGATAATAGAGGAAAATTTAATTTACTGCCACTGACAGGCAATGTGATAGATTGGAATTTTTAATCAAATGCAGACGAGTGGACGTGGCTACGTCTGGACGGACACTCACCTCCTGTGGCAGTTGCGTAAAGGAAGTATCAACTCAAGGATTTTGCTGTTATTCAAAATCATATACGATATGATTTAAGGCTGAGGCGGCTAAGTCAGTAATCTGATAAGCACAAGTTTTTATTGATTTTTGCTAGTAACGACACTAGTGGCTAAACTAGAGGCCATTGATTGTGTTCAGCTTTAATAATGCTGTAAAATGTGAAATAAAAGCTGATTATTAAAGTTATGGCTACATGTTTGTAAACAATTTTTCTTTTTATGCTGTAATCCTTGATATTTCATAATTAATTTTAATTTTTTTGTATTTTTTTCCAGTAAAATTTTGGTGAACTACAATTTAATGTAAGTATTAACAAAATATTAAAAAAAATTAACATCAGAAAACCATACAGCTTTTTTTAACTTTTATCGCTATATTTACATTAAAATTAATTAGTTTAATGAATTGCATTGTAGTTCAGAATTCTGTATGCAAAGAGTTGCTAAATAAAAAAGTTGTGTTGTAAAAAATTGAATTGCAGGCAATTAAAATATTAAAATAATTAAGTGATATTTATGCAAATACCGTTAAGGGTTTTTAAGTGCCGATTACAAAGAATTTTATTTAAAGCTTAGTGCACTCATTTGCGCATGTGACATTATTATCATTGTAATCCTTTAATTACATAATAAATAATACATAATTTTGATGGGTTTTTTAAATAACCAAAGTAGATATGAATCAGATTATTGAGAGTCTAAAAAGGTAAGCAAAAGCTTTTCATTCACATTTTTAATATATAAAAATTATTATGCGAAAATTAATAAAGATTACAAACGATTGGAATATCAAAAAATTAAATCAACTAATATATCAACAATTTACTTTATTCCTATTTTTTTTTTTCTTAAACCGATTTTATATTTTTACCAGGAATTCAGAGTGCTCATATACCAATTGATTTTTTTTAAATGTACTTAATTAAATTTAATTTTATCTTTATCCATTAGTTTATTTTATTATGTGTAATGTAATAAAATTCAATTTAATAATTTAATTTAATTAAAATTATTTAATTTAGTATAATTTAATTTAATTTAGTTTTACTTTTTCTTTTAAATAACGTTATTATATTTATCTTATTTTATTTTTTATTATTTTATTTTATTTTATACTATTTCATTTTGTCTGAGTTGTTGTTATTTTATTTTATTTTTGATTTTGTTATATAATTTGATTATATTTTATTATGATTTATTTTATTATTTTATTTTATTTTAATTTATTTTATTTAATTTAATTCATTTTAATGTTATTTAATTAAATTAAATTAAATTTAATTTAATTTTATTTTATCTTATTTAATTTACTTCATTTTAATTTATACTTGTATTGTTTTATTTGATTTCAATTGTTTAATTGTTTAATTTTTTTATTTTATTTTATTTTATTTTATTTTATTTTATTTTACTTTATTTTATTTTATTTTATTTTATTTTATTTTATTTTATTTTATTTTATTTTATTTTATTTTATTTTATTTTATTTTATTTTATTTTATTATATATTCATAATTTTTTATTTAATTTTTAATTAATTTTGTTTTATTAATTTTATTTAATTTAAGTTATTTAATTTTAATTTAATTTTACCAGATATTGTATAAAATTAACTTTTAAATAAAATTTGTTGTTGAGTGGAAATATCTTGTATATCTCTGCGTTACAAAGCATATACTAGTAGAGAGTTAACGTTTATAGCGAGACATCAAAGGATATTCTCACATGATTATCCACACATTCCGGCTTACGAATTGTGTGTGTATGGACAAACACGCATATATTATATATATATAAATATATATATTGAAATACATATATTATTTAACTATTTGACGCTGATTTTTATTTGTTTATCTTCTTTTTGATTCTAGTATTATTTTCATTTTTATGTTTATTTTCATTTTCATTGTCATTTCTATTTTATTTCCTTGCGCGTTTTATGGAAAGCGTTTTCATTTCACTTTCATTCTATTTTCATGGTAATTTGTGCGTAAATGCCTATAACGATGTTGTAGATTTTGTATTTATGACTCGTTGGTAGGCTTTTTTTTTACATACATACACACACTCTTATGTAGGTTATTTCTATGTGGGCACATATATGTGTGTTTATATATAATATTTATATGTACAATAGAGCATTATGTATTTCTACATATGCTCCTTTCTTTGTCATTCGCTTTATACAAGTGTGGAGACAATTGAGTGGGAGAGCGTGTTAAGCGCACATTTCATTACGTAAATCATCAGGCTCATCAACGGGCTGTGCGCGAATGGCACAGCCAGGCAGCAGTCAAAAATACCAAATAGGCCAATAACCTGCTAGAGGAATTAAAGACGTAGACTACTGTGTGTTTATATGTAAGTGGGCCGGCAGCAATTTTGTCTGCGAAATCCTTTAAGATTGTGTAACGAAGTGAAGCTCGCTTATGTGTCTATTTTTTTTTTTTGCCAACACTTTTGCTATTTATTTTGTTCATTTTTACATATTTTTTTTTTGTATTTGTGCTCTATTATTTGAAAAAAAAAAACTAAATTTTGCCGCCTCGTTTGTTTGTATTATCTCAAAGGACGTTGCCGTTTTCTCGCTACGGCGAAGCGACTTCGTATGGTTGTAACTGAGTATTTTTGTTCATATTTTTTCCCCAAATTTTCGCAATGTATCTATATATACGTATGAACATATGTAGGCATAAAATATTAAATTCTTGCACAAAAATTTCATTTCAAATAAACAGAAATGTAGTAAAACTTATTTCACCCACTTGTCTACCGCTGGCTTTGCCATTCAAGGACGTCGTCTCCATGCTGTCACCATCATCACAGTCTTTTCGTAACGATAATGAGTCAAAGTACGGAATTATAAAGCAAACTTAGAAAAAAATAACGAAAAATTTACGTAACACATATCACGAGCGCGGTGCTAAAGGCATTATTTAACTGGTGGAAAAAGCGAGAGTACGCAAATTTAAACAAATACATATACTTTAGTCTTTCTTTTTACACTTTTTCTTCTTTGCCCAACTTGTGCTATTCAAATATAAATTCTTTCTGGTGATTATGCCGGTTCATTTTTTAATTTGCTATGATTTTTTCCTTTTCTTCCTTATTTTTTTCTCTCGACTACCATTTTGTCTGTTATCTTTTTGTATTTGATTTAGAAATTTGTTGCGCTTTTGTTCACTTCACGCCTGCTTCCGTTTATTTCACTCTTTTCTCCAACAATTTCACTTGGCATGCCATTTCCGTTGGCTTCGTAGTAGATGCATATTTTTAGGCGTTTTGCATGTGCATACTCTTGTTGCGTGCAATTTCCTTAAATGCCAAGCATTTCGTGGCGTATAATTCAACGTGATTTGAATAATCAATTTCTCAATGGGAAATAAACAGCAAAATTTAATCAATATTTACAAAGCGAATATCCTGCTTTGCTTAATTAAACATGAGGTGCACGAAACATAGCAGATTTCAATGCATACAATAGTTAAGGTTGTTTAAAAACTTTCAACTAATATGCTTAATGACAAGCTGGTTTTGCTCTTTAGTGTGCAAATCAGTTTCGACAGGTTGGTTAGAGTTCTCATTACGCTGAAAACCAAATTTTACCTCGTAAACCTAAAAAAAAAAATATTTGATAGCCAATGCCAGTTGCTCACATAGAAAAACGCAAACTAGTTGGACTATTTCCAGGGAACTCCCACAACAAGTAAAAAGTCCGCAAATCATAAGTAGGTTTTGGAAATTCTTTTTGCATTAGTTTTTTCCAAACTCAGTAGATAACAACCCTTTCGCTTACATAATAATTAGGGCAGCGATGTAATGAAGGCTAAAGCCCACCATTAAAGAACTGATTATACTACTGAGCAGTTATTCACCATGCGCCTCTGAAAGGAAGCCCGACACACCAGCTTCTCGTTGAATGTACATCAACCTTTAACAGAACGCACGAAAGGCGCTAACTCTACGCCGCTATGTCCGGAATCGGTATACCCGCAAGATTCGTACAGCTGTGTACACTATCATTAAGTGATATCGAGGACACTGTTGGGATAAAGAAGAACCTCGGGGATCCGTTCGATACAAAACGAGATTTTAGGCAAGGCCATTCCTTACCGTGTGACTACCTTGATTTGTTTTTAGAGAAAATATTCTGAGCTGTAGAGCTGAACATCATAAGTCTAATCATCAACAAGCTACTGGCATACGCCGAAGTTATCTATTCAACCAACCAGCCACATAGTTCTGAATTAGATGCTATTTTGGTCTGAGTAGGAACCTGAATATTAAAGACCACCCTCGACGAACGAAGACCAAACTATACAATTCCTATTTGATGCAGAGCCATAAACGATTACAACATCTGATGAGTCCTCATCAAGAGCTTTGAAGAGAAAGGTTTTGCGTAAGAATTACGGTACGATGTGGGATCGGAGACTGCCGCAACCGAGGTGTACTTGATATTCCCAATACAATAAGGAACTAAATAAAAGTTATTTAAGCAAAAACCGTCCCAGTTGGCTATGAAATACTCTCACCAAAAAATCGGTCTATGACGTGATTGTTGACAGGCACATATGCCCTCTATTATGAAGTTCTACAATACTAAGTCATGCCTCAGCGAAACAAGCTGTGTGTGGCTTGAAAAGCGGATCACAGTGTTGTTCGTTAGCAAGTAATAATAAAAATAATTTTAAGTCGTTTCATCGGTTCATATTTCTTCAAAAAAGATGCCGGAGAGAACGTAATCGCCAATGATGACCGTTATCGAGCCATTATAACCAACCACTTGATGCCTGAAGTTGAGCCTCGTGATTTGGTGACATTTCGTTTAGCAAGACGGCACTACTTCCTACACATTGCATCATTCAATGGATTTCGTAATTTCACGGTAGGGGCCGGTCGATTGGTAGCAAAGATCGTGTGATATCACACCATTAGACTTTTTACTGTGGATATATGTTAAGTCTAAAGTCTATATAGCCAATTCCGCTTCGATTCAGGACTCTGAGCAAAACACCAAGCAGCTGAACTATCTAAGACGTAGCCGCAGACAACATTTGAAAGAGATAATCTTTGAAAAATAAATGCAAAAGAATGTTATTTCGTTTGATAATAAACATTCGCATTATGGTTCGTGAGAAAGTTTATATGACTTGTTCGAAAAAAATTGCATTTAAGTTTCGATTTACTGAAAATTCGGTGCAAAGCTGGCTTATTCCTAAGAAAAGCAAGTAAACTATTTTTCTCTAAAATTAAAATCGTTGCTAAGAGCTTAGCAAATAGTGACGACGTTTGAACAA